TCTCACCAAAATCATCCAAAATTCTTCTTAGCCAAATTGCTTGTGTAGTTGCCAATGATGCTGAAATATATTCGGCTTCAGCAGATGATTGTGCCACAGTTTGTTGTTTCTTGGATAACCATGAAATTACACCCGATCCAAGAGAAAATGCATACCCAGAAGTGCTTCTCATATCATCAACACATCCGGCCCAATCACTATCACAAAATCCAATTAACTACCTTGAATGTATCTCAACACTCTTTTTGCAACCCCAAAATGAATTTGGCTTGGACTGTGCATGAACCGAGACAATAAACTTGTAGCATACATGATGCCCGGTCTTGTAGCAGTTAAGTACAACAAACTTCCAACCAAACTTCTATAACAAGATGCTTCAGCTTCTTTGCTTCCATCTTCCTTTGACAACTTTTCATTCACAATCAAGGGAGTAGCAACTGCTTTGCAATTCTTCATTTTAAATTTCTCAAGAAGTGTTTGAGCATACTTCTTTTGGCAAATAAAAACACCACCATTGTTTTGGTGGATTTCAATGCCTAAAAAATGATGCAATAGCCCCAAATCACTTATTTCATATTTCTTCATCATCTCCCTTTTAAAATCTCTAATCAAGTTTTCATCACTATCGGTAAAAACCAAATCATCAACATAAAGTGAAACAATGAGAATACCGGTTGTACCTTGCCTCTTGATGTACAAAGTTGGCTCACTTTTGCTTCTTTGAAAACCCTTTTCATTGAAGTAAACATCAATTTCACTATACCATGCCCGGGGTGCTTGCTTTAGGCCATATAAAGCCTTCTTCAACTTGTACACTTTATCTTCTTTGCCTTTGACAACAAAACCTTGAGGCTGATAAACATACACCTTTTCTTCTAATTTTCCATTCAAAAATGCTGATTTTACATCAAGTTGGTGCAAGAACCAACCCTTTTGAGCAATTATAGCAAAAGAAGGAAAAGAAACAAAGGATGTCGGGCTCAACCACCCACCAAAATTATAATATAATTAAATACATATAATTTTCAGTTCAGTATTAAAAAAAATAAATCATTTTGACTTTTTAAAAGTGGGTTCAAATTATAAAGATATTAATTTTGAAATTATTTTCCATCAATGAAAAGTTCACGGATAAAAGAAATGGGACTTCATCTCAAATTCCTTCATAACCCACAAAGATGCATTTCTTACTATTTTCATCAAGCTTGTGCCTCACTTCTTTTGGAACATGAGTATAACAAATGGAACCAAACACATTCAAGTGATTCACCGATGGTTTCCTTCCACTCCAAGCTTCAAATGGAGTTTTGTCCTTAAGAGCTTTTGTAGGACATCTATTCATCAAGTAAACTGCTGTATACACGGCCTCACCCCAAAAAGTTTTGGGTAGCCCCTTCTCATGTAGCATAGACTTGGACATCTCCTCTATGGTTCTATTCTTTCTTTCCGCCACACCATTTTGTTGTGGAGTGTACCCAACAGTCAATTGCCTTTCCATTCCAATATCTTCACAAAATTTCATAAACTCATTTGAGTTGTATTCTCCGCCTCTATCACTTCTCAGTACTTTCATCAAACAACCACTTTGTCTTTCAATAAGATTTTGAAATTTCTTGAAGATAGAGAAAACTTCACTCTTTTGTCTCATGAAATACACCCAAGTCATTCTAGTAAAATCATCAACAAAGATAATAAAGTATTTGTTACCTCCATGAGTTGGTGTATCCATAGGTCCGCACACATCGATATGGACAAGCTCCAATGGTGTTTTAGCTCTCCATGCTTTCTCCTTTGGAAATGACTCCCGGTGATGCTTTCCAAGTGCACAACCTTCACAAATATGTTGCACTTCATGAATGGTTGGTAACCCAAAAACCATATTGTTTTGTTGTAGACGCTTCAAGCTTTGAAAATTCAAGTGCCCAAATCTTCTATGCCAAAGCCATGAATTATCAATCACATCCATCTTCAAAGCCACATTTTTGCTATATCGAAAAATGAGAGGAAAACTTCTATTCTTCTCCATCTTGATTTGTGCTACAACTTGACTTTTCCCCCCTTTGTCAAAAATTTTGCAAAAATCGTCTTCAAAGTGAACAAGATATCCACGCTCCATAAGTTGTCCAACACTTAGCAAATTTTGCTCTAAGTCTGGAACTAAGAGAACATCGGAAATGAATCTTGTACCCATCTTGGTTTCTATAGCAATAGTACATTTTCCTTTTGTTTGGACTAAGGCACCATTTCCCAGTTTTACTTGAGGACTGGAGGAAGCATCCATTTTTACAAAAATGCTTTCATCTCCTGTCATGTGATTGCTACATCCGTTATCGAGAAACCATACATCCTTGGTTTGATCCGATGCCTTGTGACAAGCATAGAACATGTGCCCTTCACTTTCTTGCTCCTCAGAAAAATTAGCTTGTTGAGGGCTCTTGACTAGGCAATCCTTCTTGACATGCCCAAATTTGTTGCAATTGTAACATTTTGGCTTTCCTCGAAACCAACAATCTTTATCAACATGATTGCTTCGGTTACAAATTCCACACTTTTGTTGAGTGGACTCTTCATTTTCCTTTCTTTGAAAATTAGACCTTCCTCTTCCTCTTGCATTTCTTACTCTTCCGGTTGCATTTCTTCCTCCTCTTCTTCCTCTTCCTTAGGAATTAGAGGTACTAACATTGAGCTTGGATTGAAAGGCACTTTCAATTGACTTGTCAGATTGCTTACTCAACCTTTGCTCAAATGCTTTAATTGAACCCATCAATTCTTCAATACTCAAATTAGCAAGATTTTTAGTTTCTTCAATGACAGCAACAATGGGATTGTATTTCTCCGGCAAACTTAATAAAATTTTCTCAACAACTCTTTGATTAGTAATATTATCCCCATAAATTTTCATTTGGTTTACAAGTTCCATAACCCTAGAAAAATAATCCTTCAACAATTCCATATCCTTCATCTTTAAATTTTCAAAATCTCTTTTCAATGACTGAAGTTTGATGGTTCTTACCTTCAAGTTGCCTCTATACTCTTTCTGAAGAATATCCCATGTCTCCTTCGCTTTTGTTGCATTGATAATTCTTGAAAAGATTGCTTCTGAAACTCCTTGTTGAATAAAAGAGAGAGCCTTTAAATCCTTCTTCCTTTGCTCTTTTAATTGGTTCTTTTGGAGATTTGTCAAAGCTTCTTCATCTTCAGGTTCCTCGAACCCATTCTCAACAAGATCCGAAAGCTCCGTATAGACAAAAATAGTTCTCATTTTCACATACCAAAAATCAAAATTTTCACCATTAAAGATAGGAGTGGATACATTTTGGTTGTTGGGATTCGCCATGGACGTCGGTTTGTTCTTCTTCGGGGCTTGTTTTCCCGTATCCGATCTCTACGCCCAACTTGCTCTTGACCCAACCAAAGCTCTGATACCACTTATGTTAGCTTTTGATAAAACTCTCTTTAGAATGAACTATATTTTGTATTGAATTTTTATCACTTATTGATTCATATATATTGCCCATAGGCTTACATCCTTTTATATAGAAAAGGTTATACATAAGTTCAATGAATAAGATTCATGAACCTAAACAACCTTGTAATTAATTAGGTACATGAATATAATCTAGACAATGTACTTAATAAATATAAAATACATGAATATAAAAATACATGAATACAAAGAATGTATGAACTCAATGTATCCAATGCATGCAATGTATCCAATGCATCTAATGTAAATATGGCATTAATTTTAACCGGGGGGGTGGGGCGGGGTGGGGTGGAGTTCAGTTGAGAACCCTTAAACCAACGAACAAAAAGTTCCACACATTCCACACCCTCAAACAACCTTGAATTTCTTTCCCTTCAGGATCCAATATACACAGTGAATTAAACCAGTAAAAGGAAAGAATAAGGACACATTTAAAACAGTAAATTATTTTCTTTTTTTTACATTAAAGGTATTAAAAAATCACTGTGATATGGTTGACATTTTCCCGACATTAAGAGTGTACAACCATTGTTAACTGACAAAACAACATTAATATTCCGTCACAGGTTACATTTTATGATGATTATACTAAAAAGATAACAAAGCAATCAACATGATTAAATAATAGTATAATACAATATGCATATTAGAAATTTCATGCACATTTAAAGAAAATGGTTACATCTCTCTCTCCCGGGAAGGTTTTAAGTGTGTGCCCAAAGCAAAAAAATTGTTGATTTTTACACAATTCAGAATAAAGAAAGTAGTCTCCGAGTAATTAGCCACAAAAGCTACACCCATAACTGCGTTGAATTCACACTAAACTAAAAACAGAATCATGGGCTCATGAGTAACATATTTAACATTCCAACTTCAAAGCCTCCAGATAAAGCACAAGTGACCCACCCTAAGAATAAAATGATGCAACACTCCAGTAGGTCATATTTGATGACTCCCAGCTGGAAAAACTACTTCAACAAAACAACTGTATTAAATACAATCATGTTGATATAAGCAAGCATAAGCATATACCATCTAAATCAAATTCAAACATATAATAAGGGTAAATTCATATCCATTCATATCTCATCAAATAAAATTTCAGAAGCATACGAGACAAGGAACATACACTTCTTTGAATTCTTTTAGTTTTTCCTGAGAATGAATATCTTTGGCGAACAAAATGCATGAATCTCCATCCAGTGATTTTCTCTTTGACCCTGAGATTTTGGAGGGGCAGTGAACACCATTCTGCAATTCATGCCTATTGGCTCCTCTTTCTGTTGTCAACCCATTTCTTCCATGACTATCTTCAGGCATGCCTGCTTCTACAGACTTAACAGGTGCACTCTGGCTTTTACCATTCCCATTTGCTGAAGGAAATGCATGGCTGCTCTCACCATCAATTGCTTCAACTGTTTTACTTTTGGTAACACCATTTCCATTTACTGATGACATATTCTTCTCACCCTTCTCCATAGAAATTGATGGGTTCAAATCCTGATTTAACTTCTATTAACAATTTTTCCATTAACCGTTGCGGGAAACTTTTTAGTAGCAGAATTTCCAAAACCACTCAAGTTGTCCTGTGGACCAGAAAGCGCTTTATTAACCTTAGATCTGGTCAAATTATCCTGTACAAAAGAATGATCAACAGTTTGTTTCGTAGACACTGCTTTTGTTGAATGAGCTACCTTTTGGCTTTTAGATGCATCACTACCATTGCACTCTTGAGATTTCACACCGTTCGAAGCCAATGCAGTGTTGGTAGGTACTGGCCTTTGTTTTGTACGAGAAAAGAAAAGGATGTAAACCCTCTCTGACAAAACTTCTTGCAGATTTGAAAGTTTAATGTAAGAATCATTACAGCAATACCAACGGCCCATCGCATCCTATAGGACATGGAAAACCAAACAAATAGTGTAGTTGCTCAGTCAAAATGTATATCAGTAAAACCTAATATTAAATGTAGCAAGATATGCTGAAAGAGGAAACATCAAAAGAGACCTTGATGTATGCATAATAGTGTCCAGAATCTGGCGAGAAGCCTGAATGCACAATGGTACCAAATAGGTTATACTCTGGATGTGGATCCTGCAGTTCAGCCCAAAAACAGAACAGTATGAAAAATAAATTGCCTTACACAACAGAACCAACACAGTGAATCACATATAAAAGAACAAAGTAGGTAAACCATGAGAATCTCCACAAGCAAGCAGTAAAATTTACACCAAATTACAAGCAACAATGTCAGCACCGCATAGGACGTTTTAAATTGGAAATAACAGCATAGCTCCAAATATATTCTTTACTGTGTTGTTGTCATGCCATATCCTCATGTCCCAATGTTTTTCCAATCATAGAATTTGGGTTTTGATTAATATACTGATTCAGACATATTTTGGTTTACACTTCCATCCAGTGAGATGCTCTGGGTAAGTCAATGATTTTCACTTCAATGATGAATATTTAATAAGATCAAATCTGTTTATTCTGGTTTTGTTGATTATGATTAACATTAAATAGTCTAGCTTCCCTTGCAACTAGGTTTCAAAGAGTTTGTTTATCACGCAACATACTTGCATGTATATACAAAGGAATGTGTTAAATTCAGAATTAGTATTCACGTTTCTCACAATGAATAAATGCAATCCATCACTGAAATCAACATACTTTGCGTGTATTTACACCAAATATGTTAAATTTAGAATTAGTATTCATGTTTCTTACAATGAATAAATTCATGCAATCCATCACTAAAATCTATTCATATATGGAATAGGCTGAAAGAATTAAGTTGCCTCATCTGAATGCAGAACTTGTAGTTTTCTCTCACAAGATCTACAAGGTAATGATCCAATTTGTAAAATTTACTGGCGTTAAAATTGGTTTCTTTTAATTTTACTGTTATATATGTCAAACATATATTAATCAACCAAGTTTTATTGGAATTTACTTTTAAGATTCATATTCTATTACTTTGTGCTGTGAGATTACAACAATACATTAATTCAATCCTTGAATTCTAAATATGGATACTAGATGTAATAACCGTTACGTGATGTTTGTATAATCTCAAGTAATAATGGTTAAATCTTCAAAACATGAAAAACCTTGCTATTATTGAATCAAGCAATATATAATTTCTGCTCTACCAGTTTGTGAGCTTTGCCAACCACAAAGAGCTTGAATCTCCTAAAAATAAAAATAAAAAGCAAGATTACCGTTGTATTATTCCTAGCCAACAACAACGCGACACCCACACACATAGCGCGTGGGGTTCCAACTATTAATAAGAAATAAAAAGTGGACAGCTGGGCAGGAGGTAAGTGATGCAGGGCAGCATTAGGAAGCTAAGGTCAATGTTGTCTCCAAATGGGTCAATGGTGGCTGACGTAACGAGTATATATGTTTAGGGTTTAATAAGGACAAGATGAGGCTATCTTTACTTTTTTGTAATAAGGGATTTGAAAGTGCTAGAGTTGGCTTGTTTTGCACATGTAGAGTTGCATGGTTTCCTATGTGTAAAGTCCCTGGATTCTCAAACTTCCCAATATTTACAAATGTATAATTTCTTGTGTTAAACTAAATACCTCATAATCTTAAGACACCTCACTCTCAAATATGATGTTATTAGGCAACACCTCATTACCTACCACTTTTTGAAGCTCTAGTCAAATGTTTTTCATGTTGAATACCAAATAAGGACAAAGTTTAGCGGCAAACCGGGCTGTGGGAATCTCCTACTGCCTATGTACGTGTCAACATTTACACCCTCCATGTTTTCGCTCAACACGTGACATAACGCTATCCAATGGAATCCTACTTTCCATTAACTTCGCTGATAGAATTCTTCCATATGTACGAAACCATTATCCAACTTATATCCTACTTGCTACCATTATCTTTGTCGATTGTGTCTACCATCTTTGGTTTATCTAACTTAATAGTGCAAGTTTTATGGATACATATTTAGATGGAAAAGAAAAAAGTCTCCTAAAATAAAATATTTTTACTGATAAAGGTTTCCTAAATAAAACATTTAACGGTGACGGAATGGAACTGTTGAAGAAGGTATAAATTTTAAATGATTTAAATGATTGTAACACGTAGCTTATTCGTTTGCTGCCACCGATTCAAGGCAGTCAGAATTCCTACATACCAAACAGCGGGAAATCTTTATCCACTAAATAATCATGCAAAAAGGTTCAAGCCGTAATTAAGCTGAAGAAAGACGACCTACGTAGCTATACAGCAACTCCCATTGCATGAACAGCTTTACGCACCTGGTTTGCTTTACACATGTAGCTCGAAAGCACTAGAACTTCCTCAAATGCAATCGCCTTGTCAATCTTCCCGCCATACATGCCCTCAAATCTCTATACAACCAGAACATAGAAAACCCATTACTAATAGCCATAAGTTAGAGTACGACTACTAGCAAAAATCATAACATTACATAAAACACAGATAGATAGCCTACCTTGAGTTGGATCACAAGGACATTAGGTGCTTGAAGTAAAGACATTTGCTTCCTTGCAGACACCAATTTCTTGCAACTAAACAATGCATAAATTTATTATAATCCAACCCATATACATTTTATCATTAGGAAAGAGATACAAAAATAGATAGTGAGAGAGAGAGAGAGAAAGAGAGAAAGTTGCTTACTTCTCACACTTGTATTTATTATTTCCATCCAAAACCTCAGCCTGAAAAAACTTCTGCAAAGATTCTTTGAGAGAACTGCTATGCGAAACATCAAGATTGATATCCATGATCTCATCGACCTTGTTCGACTCGGCACCACAAGATAGACACTTCACCTGACTCTGCAGCGCACCCCCGAAAATCTCCATAACCACCGTACTACCATTGAACCCTTCATTAGCACCGCCTTTGCGGCGCTGCTGCTGCTGCTGCAACTTCTTGAGGCGAAGACAAGCGTTATGGCAAGCATCAATCACATACCGAAGAAACTCATGAGCGTCCTCTTGGCGACCGCAACGGAAGTGATCAGCGAAAACTCTCAAACAATTGTTCATCTTGGAAGGCGTATCTAGGGTTAGATCAACCTTCAAAGACCTCGCAATTCGCTTCTCCAATCAAAGGAAAAGTGCAGAATTCTATGTATACATATAAACAAAGGAAATTTTTATGGAGTATATATGGGCGGCCAAGGATGACTTCTCAGAATTTTTTTTTTTTTTAAATCGGGAAAAAAAAAATCTCTACTACAAAACAAATAAAAGAAATGAGTGGTGCTATATATCTTCTAATTTTTCATTCCTAATTCCACGCTTAACCATGTGTGACTTACTTCCATGTATAATTATCCTGCACTTCGAAAAGAGTTGATTGGTTGTTACTTTTTGCCACCTCATTAGAGATGCAATCTCAAAAGTGATAAAATGAGAAGATGAGACATTTCTCAGAAAGACTATGAAATTTAAACAACAATATTATTCTATATGAAATTTATTTCTTGCAAAAACTACGTAATAACATTTTTTTTTAGATGGTGATGTTTGTAATAACATTACTCATTAGCCTATTTTGCTAAATTGGTTAAAAGTCTAACCTTTTGACCTTTTAAATTTTTTAAATCGCATCACCTCTCTATTTTTTAATATTTTTTTCAAAAATAAATAAATAAATAAATAAACAATTTTTAACCTACTTCCCACCCGCAGTGATGGGGAAGTGTCCAACACTGACTGACTGCCCTGTTTAATGCCTAATACTGAAAGATGTTCAGACATCCAACCTAGTAGTCCACATCCATGCAGAGCATATATCAAAGCAAATAATCACACAGGAAAACACTAGCTTCCTATCTACAAACATAGTTCCAAATGCACAACCGAAAAACTTAAATCTTCAATCTGTAGACAAATATTCATATAGATAGTACACTACAAAGGAATCTAGAATCTGCTTGGCAACGGAGAAATAAAAGCAGACAGAGGGGAAGATAACAGTTATATTTATGGGTAGTCAAGATTCCATCATTTTTTTTATTTTATTTTTTTTAAGTAAAACTCAATGATAGCATAAAGATCCAAGAGTACTAATCCGACCACATATTTATGGGAAAATTGCAAAGCGTCCATAAAATGAGGATTGTATACTAACGATGATTGCTGAAAAGAGATATATCATACAAATTTAATAGAAATTCTGAGCTCGTTCTCTACCAAAACCACAACTGCACAGGTGCAAAGGAGAAAGAACTTTTGGCAGTTATTGAACTCGGATCTTTGATGTCACATTTGACCAGTGAAGCCCCCACCTATATTCCGATTGACAAAAGATCAAATGACACTGATAGAACAACCTGCTCCCGACCGCAAAGATAAAGAATATGACATACCCCCAGTTATTGCTCAAGGAAGCTGCCACCACTCAACGAAACAAAACCAATGTTACAGATTATACACCAAGCTCCACTACCAACATACATCAGGAGACTGCAAAATTTACCAATAATTACATTTAGTAGTATGATTAGTCATTAAACAACCATTATAATTAGGAAATCAATAAATAATAGCTCATGCCCTACTGTATTCTGATTCATTATTGCGTACAGTGTTTAAAATTTTGAAAATCAAGTAGCAAAGTTGCTCCCACACATTGACATACCATGCCAAGTTGCTCAAGGACCTGAATGTCATTTTTCCCAGCTAAATGATTTCAGACGTTGAATAAGGTTCTCTTTCAAGGACTCGGGAATTTGAGAGACGAAATTTCTTTTTGCATCTGTAATCAACAACTTCCTGCATTAACAAAAGCAGTAAAATGATGAATGAGAGTTTCCAATTCATGAAAGATCAAAAATATAGAAATATGAAGATGAAAAACACAATAAATGGTAATGAACAAAGAATGATGATTGCTTAATTCAAAGTTCATCCCAGAGCAGTTATCTGGTACATAATTTCCTCTTTCTGGATGAGAATCCAGATAGCCCCAAAAAATACTGTTCCAATAAAAATGCCCAGTATTGTAGAAGGCAGAAGAAAAAAATGGTGGCATGCATTTCATCATAAGAGAATGTCACACAACCTTAAGACTGTGTTTGGATCATGGATTTGGATAGGGATTTGAAAAGGGGAACGAAAAAGGTGGGCGAAATGTAGGTATATTTCATTCACATTTCACCCACCTTTTCCCTTTTTCTTTCCAAATCTCCACCCAAATCTATGATCCAAACGCAGGCTAAAGAGAAAAGTTAAATGAATTTGTAAACCATCTTCTTGTTATCAAGAAGTTGTTTTCTACACATGTTCTTTCCTTCATAGCTGAACACAGCCAAGGATCCTTCATATAATATTCCCCACAATCCAAACCATTACACAGCTTCAACAGTAGGACTTCAGTCCTGAATTTTGTCAACCCATCAGTACTCCTATGCTACATGGGCTTGGGTAGGTGCTTTGGGTGCAGTATTCATCTAATTCTCTGGTCTAGTGACATTGAGAGACGCCTAAATATTCATAATGCTTAATATTCTTCCTTAATTTGCAAAGATAACATAGTAAATATATTTAATATAGAAGAGCCTAAAGCATGAGAAATTCACTATTTTCAAGTAAACATGTCCCAAAAGTACTAACATAATAAGGGAGATTTATGTGCTTACTGAAAACATGTCCAACTAGACATATCAGACGTGTAACCCATACCCTTACCAAATATGTTGTTCAACATGAGAAATTCACACAATCTTGACTCTATGTAACATTGTGGTGCTCTTTCAAATAAGGCCCAAATTCAGTTTTGGTCTGTAAATGCTAGACATACTTCAAATAAAATTTTAATTCCCTCATAGGCAACAGAGCAATTGTGGAAGCATAATGCTTCAACAATCTTAGGACAATATATAGCCAAGGCATAAAAGATTATGTGTGTAAAAGCTCAGTAGCATATTTAGATGCATAACACACCAACCAACTGAACGACAAAGATCACAAAACTCAATCAAGTGTTGTAAAGGGTGGACATTCTAGAAATTTGCATTGTAAAGCTCCAGAGAGGCAAATGACTGGAAACTTGAGACTATTCCAAGGAAATGAAAACGTTTTGGCCGTTTAAATGGAAAATAAACAAAATTGTGTTCCTTGTAGACAAACTCAAATACCTCTTGCATACAAATGTAAAATCTTAAGAAAACTTACTTTAATCCATTGTTAGTTGATGCCATATCGCCTGCTTCTTGTGAACACACCTTCTTTCTAGAACGCATGGAACTACAAACTTCCTCTGTCCAACCACATGACCGCAGACCTGAAATATAAGCAACCCCTTCTAAGAACAATAAAATTTAAAAGCACAAAAAAGAGAATAAGGAACATCAAAGGAGATAATGGTTTGAAGACACGAGGATAAACAAGGGTAAAATAACACATTTCGGTGTAAAAGAGATGACAATATCATTTTTCCATCCATACAACTAGCGAATTACTAATGAAAAGGGAGTCAAGTGTTATGTGAATTAAAACATTAAGGGACTCAATGTATTTTCTCCAAACCTCAAGAGAAGTTAAACATATTTTCCAGTTCAATATGCGAATATATATTTATATATACACATTAATAACTATGTTTATCCATTAAAGAGCTCCCAAGGCAGGTATGCAACTCTTGTACACCAAAGTGTACCTTTATATCTACAGAAACATATAGATTATACAATTCATAAACAATACAGATGAACCAACAGCATGAGGGAGGGGGGGGGGTAGGAGTTCAGTTGAGAACCCTTAAACTAACGAACAAAAAGTTCCACGCGTTCCACACCCTCAAACAACCTTGAATTTCTTTCCCTTCAGGATCCAATATACACGGTGAATTAAACCAGTAAAAGGAAAGAATAAGGACACATTTAAAACAGTAAATTATTTTCTTTTTTTTACATTAAAGGTATTAAAAAATCACTGTGATATGGTTGACATTTTCCTGACATTAAGAGTGTACAACCATTGTTAACTGACAAAACAACATTAATATTCCTTCACAGGTTACATTTTATAATGATTATACTAAAAAGATAACAAAGCAATCAACATGATTAAATAATAGTATAATACAATATGCATATTAGAAATTTCATGCACATGTAAAGAAAATGGTTACATCTCTCTCTCTCGGGAAGGTTTTAAGTGTGTGCCCAAAGCAAAAAAATTGTTGATTTTTACACAATTCAGAATAAAGAAAGTAGTCTCCGAGTAATTAGCCACAAAAGCCACACCCATAACTGCGTTGAATTCACACTAAACTAAAAACAGAATCATGGGCTCATGAGTAACATATTTAACATTCCAACTTCAAAGCCTCCAGATAAAACACAAGTGACCCACCCTAAGAATAAAATGATGCAACACTCCAGTAGGTCATATTTGATGACTCCCAGCTGGAAAAACTACTTCAACAAAAAACTGTATTGAATACAATCATGTTGATATAAGCAAGCATAAGCATATACCATCTAAATCAAATTCAAACATATAATAAGGGTAAATTCATATCCATTCATATCTCATCAAATAAAATTTCAGAAGCATACGAGACAAGGAACATACACTTCTTTGAATTCTTTAAGTTTTTCCTGAGAATGAATATCTTTGGCGAACAAAATGCATGAATCTCCATCCAGTGATTTTCTCTTTGACCCTGAGATTTTGGAGGGGCAGTGAACACCATTCTGCAATTCATGCCTATTGGCTCCTCTTTCTGTTGTCAACCCATTTCTTCCATGACTATTTTCAGGCATGCCTGCTTCTACAGACTTAACAGGTGCACTCTGGCTTTTACCATTCCCATTTGCTGAAGGAAATGCATGGCTGTTCTCACCATCAATTGCTTCAACTGTTTTACTTGTGGTAACACCATTTCCATTTACTGATGACATATTCTTCTCACCCTTCTCCGCTGAAATTGACGCTTTCACATCCCCATTATTTCCATTGAAATTGACTTTTGATGATGACATATTCTTCTCCCCCTTCTCCCCATTATTTCCATTATTTCCACTTGCAGGAAACCTTTTGGCACCAGATTTTCCAAAGCTACTTAAGTTGGCCTCTCCACTAAAAGGCACCTTATTGTCCTCAGATCTGGTCAAATTATCGTTTTCAAAAAAATGATTGACAGATTGTTTTGTATGCACTTCCTTCCCTGAATGAGATACCTTTTGACCCACTCTTGAGATTTCACACCGTTCGAAGCCAATGCAGTGTTGGTAGGTACTGGCCTTTGTTTTGTACGAGAAAAGAAAAGGATGTAAACCCTCTCTGACAAAACTTCTTGCAGATTTGAAAGTTTAATGTAAGAATCATTACAGCAATACCAACGGCCCATCGCATCCTATAGGACATGGAAAACCAAACAAATAGTGTAGCTGCTCAGTCAAAATGTATATCAGTAAAACCTAATATTAAATGTAGCAAGATATGCTGAAAGAGGAAACATCAAAAGAGACCTTGATGTATGCATAATAGTGTCCAGAATCTGGCGAGAAGCCTGAATGCACAATGGTACCAAATAGGTTATACTCTGGATGTGGATCCTGCAGTTCAGCCCAAAAACAGAACAGTATGAAAAATAAATTGCCTTACACAACAGAACCAACACAGTGAATCACATATAAAAGAACAAAGTAGCTAAACCATGAGAATCTCCACAAGCAAGCAGTAAAATTTAGACCAAATTACAAGCAACAATGTCAGCACCGCATAGGACGTTTTAAATTGGAAATAACAGCATAGCTCCAAATATATTCTTTACTGTGTTGTTGTCATGCCATATCCTCATGTCCCAATGTTTTTCCAATCATAGAATTTGGGTTTTGATTAATATACTGATTCAGACATATTTTGGTTTACACTTCCATCCAGTGAGATGCTCTGGGTAAGTCAATGATTTTCACTTCAATGATGAATATTTAATAAGATCAAATCTGTTTATTCTGGTTTTGTTGATTATGATTAACATTAAATAGTCTAGCTTCCCTTGCAACTAGGTTTCAAAGAGTTTGTTTATCACGCAACATACTTGCATGTATATACAAAGGAATGTGTTAAATTCAGAATTAGTATTCACGTTTCTCACAATGAATAAATGCAATCCATCACTGAAATCAACATACTTTGCGTGTATTTACACCAAATATGTTAAATTTAGAATTAGTATTCATGTTTCTTACAATGAATAAATTCATGCAATCCATCACTAAAATCTATTCATATATGGTATAGGCTGAAAGAATTAAGTTGCCTCATCTGAATGCAGAACTTGTAGTTTTCTCTCACAAGATCTACAAGGTAATGATCCAATTTGTAAAATTTACTGGCGTTAAAATTGGTTTCTTTTAATTTTACTGTTATATATGTCAAACATATATTAATCAACCAAGTTTTATTGGAATTTACTTTTAAGATTCATATTCTATTACTTTGTGCTGTGAGATTACAACAATACATTAATTCAATCCTTGAATTCTAAATATGGATACTAGATGTAATAACCGTTACGTGATGTTTGTATAATCTCAAGTAATAATGGTTAAATCTTCAAAACATGAAAAACCTTGCTATTATTGAATCAAGCAATATATAATTTCTGCTCTACCAGTTTGTGAGCTTTGCCAACCACAAAGAGCTTGAATCTCCTAAAAATAAAAATAAAAAGCAAGATTACCGTTGTATTATTCCTAGCCAACAACAACGCGACACCCACACACATAGCGTGTGGGGTTCCAACTATTAATAAGAAATAAAAAGTGGACAGCTGGGCAGGAGGTAAGTGATGCAGGGCAGCATTAGGAAGCTAAGGTCAATGTTGTCTCCAAATGGGTCAATGGTGGCTGACGTAACGAGTATATATGTTTAGGGTTTAATAAGGACAAGATGAGGCTATCTTTACTTTTTTGTAATAAGGGATTTGAAAGTGCTAGAGTTGGCTTGTTTTGCACATGTAGAGTTGCATGGTTTCCTATGTGTAAAGTCCCTGGATTCTCAAACTTCCCAATATTTACAAATGTATAATTTCTTGTGTTAAACTAAATACCTCATAATCTTAAGACACCTCACTCTCAAATATGATGTTATTAGGCAACACCTCATTACCTACCACTTTTTGAAGCTCTAGTCAAATGTTTTTCATGTTGAATACCAAATAAGGACAAAGTTTAGCGGCAAACCGGGCTGTGGGAATCTCCTACTGCCTATGTACGTGTCAACATTTACACCCTCCATGTTTTCGCTCAACACGTGACATAACGCTATCCAATGGAATCCTACTTTCCATTAACTTCGCTGATAGAATTCTTCCATATGTACGAAACCATTATCCAACTTATATCCTACTTGCTACCATTATCTTTGTCGATTGTGTCTACCATCTTTGGTTTATCTAACTTAATAGTGCAAGTTTTATGGATACATATTTAGATGGAAAAGAAAAAAGTCTCCTAAAATAAAATATTTTTACTGATAAAGGTTTCCTAAATAAAACATTTAACGGTGACGGAATGGAACTGTTGAAGAAGGTATAAATTTTAAATGATTTAAATGATTGTAACACGTAGCTTATTCGTTTGCTGCCACCTATTCAAGGCAGTCAGAATTCCTACATACCAAACAGCGGGAAATCTTTATCCACTAAATAATCATGCAAAAAGGTTCAAGCCGTAATTAAGCTGAAGAAAGACGACCTACGTAGCTATACAGCAACTCCCATTGCATGAACAGCTTTACGCACCTGGTTTGCTTTACACATGTAGCTCGAAAGCACTAGAACTTCCTCAAATGCAATCGCCTTGTCAATCTTCCCGCCATACATGCCCTCAAATCTCTATACAACCAGAACATAGAAAACCCATTACTAATAGCCATAAGTTAGAGTACGACTACTAGCAAAAATCATAACATTACATAAAACACAGATAGATAGCCTACCTTGAGTTGGATCACAAGGACATTAGGTGCTTGAAGTAAAGACATTTGCTTCCTTGCAGACACCAATTTCTTGCAACTAAACAATGCATAAATTTATTATAATCCAACCCATATACATTTTATCATTAGGAAAGAGATACAAAAATAGATAGTGAGAGAGAGAGAGAGAAAGAGAGAAAGTTGCTTACTTCTCACACTTGTATTTATTATTTCCATCCAAAACCTCAGCCTGAAAAAACTTCTGCAAAGATTCTTTGAGAGAACTGCTATGCGAAACATCAAGATTGATATCCATGATCTCATCGACCTTGTTCGACTCGGCACCACAAGATAGACACTTCACCTGACTCTGCAGCGCACCCCCGAAAATCTCCATAACCACCGTACTACCATTGAACCCTTCATTAGCACCGCCTTTGCGGCGCTGCTGCTGCTGCTGCAACTTCTTGAGGCGAAGACAAGCGTTATGGCAAGCATCAATCACATACCGAAGAAACTCATGAGCGTCCTCTTGGCGACCGCAACGGAAGTGATCAGCGAAAACTCTCAAACAATTGTTCATCTTGGAAGGCGTATCTAGGGTTAGATCAACCTTCAAAGACCTCGCAATTCGCTTCTCCAATATACAAAACGGACACTCCCGCTTTCTCTCCTGCTCCCCCGAATCACCTGTAAAAGCAAAACAAACCCAATTTAGAGAGAGAGAGAGAGAAATTTTGGGGGAAAAGAATGGAATTGAGAGAAATGAGAGAGGTACATACAGGAGGAGGAGTGGAGGAATTTGAGGCAGAAATTGGCGAGAGGAGGAGTGTAGGTGAGGCACTGAAGGACGCTGTTGAGATAGCAGGAGTTGCCGATATTTTTTAACCCTAGAGGAGGACCATTCTTGCGTTTGTGGTGGAGGAGGCTCGGCTGCCAGGTCATTTGCAAGGCCATTAACGACCTTCTTCCACTGGGGATTGTGAATTCGAAGCAGTAGCAGCATTGGAAGATGACAATCCCCGCCTCCACCACCAGGAGGAGGATCGCATCCTTTTCTTCCGTCCCCCTCTCCTTCTCTCTCTCTCTCTCTCTCTCTCTCTCTACAAATCTATGTGCTTTTGGTTTCTCTCTCTCTATATGTATAGCTTGTCTTAATTTTCTTGGGAAAATTGGGGTGGGAAAGTGAGGAGGGGGGTGGTTTTAGGGTGGAGAAGTGATGGTGATGGTGGTGGGGGTGGGGGTTTTCTGGTGTTGAGATTTGGTGTTCATATATGTTGGGTTGATGAGGGCTGTAGAGATTTGGTTTTTATTATTACAATCTAAAAATGGGAAATGTAAAAAAGACCAATAGTGCAGTACCAGTGGCAGTCCCCAAGTCCCACACCAACCAAATTTTTACGCGGTTTTTAAATACTTCCTTCGTCCCAAAATATTAGTCCCTTATTTTATTTTTTATTGTCCCAAAATATTAGTCCCTCTTCAAAGTACAAAAATAATATAAATTTTTTATTTTACCCTTCTTTTAAATTAATAAACAACATAAAAAGTACAATTAGTCTAAATTTTCTTGGGAAAATTGGGGTGGGAAAGTGAGGAGGGGGGTGGTTTTAGGGTGGAGAAGTGATGGTGATGGTGGTGGGGGTGGGGGTTTTTTGGTTTTGAGATTTGGTGTTCATATATGTTGGGTTGATGAGGGCTGTAGAGATTTGGTTTTTATTATTACAATCTAAAAATGGGAAATGTAAAAAAGACCAATAGTGCAGTACCAGTGGCAGTCCCCAAGTCCCACACCAACCAAATTTTTACACAGTTTTTAAATAATTTTTTTAATAAATTTTACACTTTTTGCTCTGTTGGGGTCTCGAAATAAGTTTTTTTAATAATTTTTTATAAAAAAAATGTAAAAAAAAAAATAATAAGTGACAATAAATTTTTAATTTTTTAAATAAAATATATAATTATCAAATGAATCCTGAATATATATAATGAAAATGCTCAAAATAAGTTCTTATTAACGTAAAAAATGTATACAAATGTATTAAAATGAGTGAAAATATTTTAAAATATATGAAAATATATATTAAAATTATAAAGTTTGCCAAAAATTGTCAGTGCCAAAACCCATAATATAACAACAATGATTCATCCCACTAAAAATATCACCACTAATAGCACTAATGCATTAAAAAAGTAAAAAAAAAAAAAAACACAACTCCAAGACCAAAACATCACATCATTAATGACGGGACCCACTGCCACCTAATTAGTGAGAGCACTAATTAGTGCTCCCAAGCATTTTTCTTAATATAATACCCTCGTCGTCTCTTCTTTTAAAATTTGAGTATAAATGAAATATTAAGAACATAAAATTTAAGTGGAAGTTGATGTTCAAAAGTATTAAAAACATCAAGTTTGTTTGAACTATTTTCAAACAACGTATAAAAATTTAACTAAAATATGAATAAAAAAATCATTAAAAATAAATGAAAACTCGAACAAAAATGCACGCAAATTTTTTTATCTATTTTTATAATTTTTTTAAAAAATTTAGCCAATTTATTTTACTTTTTAAATATAACTTTATTTTGGAAAATAGGTTAAAAATCTTCTTTTTTTTTTACTTTTTTTAAAAAAAATTAATAAAAAAATAAATAGTTGATGTGACTTTAAAAAATTAAAAAATTAAAAAGTTGATTTTTAACCTAATTGACAAAACAGGCTTTGAGTGCATCTAAAAAGTATAAACAAATAATTAAAACATTAAGAAAATTTACTAAAAATAAACGAAAAATTATTTAAACATAAATTTTAAAAAATCAAACCAAACAGACACATAATTTTTCTTTAAATATCTTTCAAACGTGTTCATGTGACATTTTCAATTCATTTTTTAAAAGGTAAATAACGAAAGACTCATATTAAGATGAAAGTTGAAGTCCTACGTCTCAGTTGACTAATAGGTAAGTCATTAAAGTGAAATTTGAATGCAAAATTAAAATATGAAAGGTATAATTTATACTTTTAATTTTTGAAGCTCAATTAATACATGTTATTTTTTAAAATTGTATTTTGAAAAACGACTTACAACCAAAATCTTTTTTTTTTTAGTGAAAATATAATTTTAATTACTTTGTTATAATTTTTTTAAATTTTGGGTTTTGATTTTAAAAAATTCAAAACAATTCATATCTTGAAATAATACTTGTAATAACTCAAGATTGTTAATAGTTGTATGGTTTATTATTGGAGCTGTTATTGTTATAATTTAAGTTGAAGAAGAAAATGGTGTACTAATGGTGTCGGATGGCAGTTGTCAAATTTGACAAATGCTAAAACTTGTGTCAAATTTGATACAAACTTTGACAATTGTCATATGTGCCAACTCATGCAAAACTTCCCTTTCTCCCATCAAAACAAATAATTTTTTGCAAAATCGTCATTTTTACAGAACCAAACACAAAAATTGGTGTGTTCGAGACAACCGACCGGTCGACATCTAACCATTAGAGAATCATTGCTATAATTTTACTATTTTTTACTATTCATTGTCAAATTGTAACAATGACAATACTATTATAACTTTTATCATTAAAAATGCTGCCTTGTTTGGCATATAAAAAGCTAAAAAGTCAAAAAGTTATTATCTTATTTAAGTCACATCAACTTATTTGAGTCACATCACCTCTCTACCACATCACTTCAAACCCAACTCATACCCAACCCATATTTCATAAAAATTTAAAAAATATACTTATTTAGAACATCTCAAACCACCCCGAATTCCCAACTATAATTTTGTTAGGGTATTTATCTTGTGAGTAAGGTGAATATGAGTCTACTAAAAAAAAAAGGGTAAATATGAACTGAACCCCAATTATGGCCAAGTTTGGGATGTTCCAAAAAAGTCAAAAAGCCAAAAAGTTACTCAAAAAGTTAAAAAGTTAACACTATTCACCAAAAGTCAACAATTTGGAATATACTAAAAAAGCTAAAAAGTCAAAAAGTCATTATCTTATTTAAGTCACATCATCTTATTTAAGTCGCATCACCTCTCTACCACATCACTTCAAACCCAACTCATACCCAACCCATATTTCATAAAAAGTCAAAAAATACACTTATTTAGAACACCTCAAACCACCCCAAATCCCCAACTACAATTTTGTTAGGGTATTTATCTTGTGAGTAAGGTGAATATGAGTCTACTAAAAAAAAAGGGTAAATATGAACTGAACCCCAATTATATATAAGATTTAAATTTATATTTTGACCATGATTATATATATATATATATATATATTTTTTTTAATCCATTTACATTTATGATTTGTATTGAATGCTTTAAATACTGTCCAAAAAAATGCCAAAATAGTATGTGTCGTTTCGGGAAGTGAATTTTTTGATTTTTTATAAAAAAAAATGTAAAAAAAAAATAAATAATATTAGAGCTCATGAAAAATATATCATGAAATGTTTTATGAAGATTTTTCATCTTTTGATTAATACTTAGTGTTTTTTTGTATGTGTCATTTAATGGTGAAAAAATTTTTAGGATTATTTTCATGATTTTTTTTTATAATATCTAGCCTTACTAAAAAAAAATATTGACTGAGTAAGTGGATTTCTACTTTTTAACTTTTAAATTATTTTAACTAATTCCCAAATAGAATAAAGGTAATCACCTTTTGGGTCAAGACAGACTAAAAAATCTAAATTCTGAGAATTACTTCTCACATTCTCACCTTTATCTCATTCAAAAAATGTGTTATATATTAGTTACTTTTATAAATAAATTTGAGATTATGTAAATCCACAGATGATTTGTCTGACTTGGACAAGTAATAAATTTGAGATTGTGTTTTATACGGGCCAATCTAGCGGCGGAGTCAGAAAATTAAACTTATTAATTAAAATATTAAAGAAATTTATTAAAATATCTTATTTAAGTTTTTACGATTGATTTTGAATTAGTGTTATGGACAATATCAAAATAAATATTGATACAAGTCTTAAAATAAATTATATAATGATAAATTATTTTTTTATACAAAATTTGATTAAAAATTCAATATAATAATAATACTACGTCATCATTGGTATGTGATATCACTCACTAATAATAAATAAACACATAGAGAGTAAACTTAACATGTCAAATGTAACTAACAATCTAATGAATTTCATATCTTTATAGTGAGATTACATATACTTGCATGTCACTAATAATGGCATCACCGTTACATGAAATTTTTTTTATAAATTTTCATAAATAATATGGTTTATAATAATCTCTTAATTTTCAATCAAAATAACCATTATTATTTTCATAATTTTTAAAATATCATTGACATTTCACTATAATAATATTTTTATAATTTTTTTATTTAAAATATTTTCTTTATGTTTGCAAAATAAAAAAATAAAAAAATTTCAAATCCAGGGGTCACCCTGGTCCCTCACTCCCTCTGCCGATAGGCCAATCCTCATCCCTGTTGAGCTGCATTGACCCATTAGTTGTAAAGTCACTCGGGTCGGAATGGGTCATTTTTCAGGCCCAATACAAGGCCTGAGTTGGAAAATTTTAAAAGCATTAAAAAAAATATAAAATAAAATAAAAGACAGTTTATAATATTTTTATTTTATCATATTTGTTTTTAAATAATTAATATTTGACGTACATTTTTTCAAAAATAAATATGATAAAATTAAAATATTACGATTATTAAATCAATTTAAACTTTTTTATGAATGATATACATAAAAAATCCTGCAAAATGAACAACGAAATTTATAGTGGACCTACAAGCCCAAACATGACGTTTATCTTAGATTTAACTACTTAAAAAGACAGTTTATAATATTTTTATTTTATCATGTTTGTTTTAAAATAATTAATATTTGACGTACATTTTTTCAAAAACAAATATGATAAAATTAAAATATTACGATTATTAAATCAATTTAAACTTTTTTATGAATGATATACATAAAAAATCCTGCAAAATGAACAACGAAATTTATAGTGGACCTACAAGCCCAAACATGACGTTTATCTTAGATTTAACTACTTAAATTTTTTTTAAAAAAATTAGATAGTTTTTACTGAATTAAGAGACAAATGTGAAAATATATGTTATTAATATTTTTTTTCTAACATAACTCACCTAGTTTGGTAAGTAAGTACTAAAAAATAAAATTTAAATCCAAATTTGATTCAGGTTAACTCAAAAAGTGCTTCAAAAGTTACATATAAAAAAATGTCTTTATAAGTTTTGTTGAATGTATATATTTTAATTTTCTAAAAATTACACATGTTTGGATTTTTTAACAGT